TATTTTCTCTCCTTCGAATATATTACACTGTATATCCTCTTTAAACCAATATAAATATCTTTTATACCATTTTAATCGACTGACCCAATAAATGACTGACAGAAAGACGGATGGACAAATGAACGGACGGACGGACGGACTGCAGACTGACCCTTCCTAAAACTTACTGGGAATATGCTTTCCATTAATAACACAGAGCATTTCAGCTTCAAAATTTTGTCGTATCCAAAATTGGAAAGACCAACCCCTCAAATAAAGTACAGAGTGCTCTTAGGAGGCAATGAAACGAAAGCTTCCTGGAAACCTTCTACCTTACTGCGACACGCCTTGCAAATAATTAAAAAAATGAAAGATAATGACTTTGTTGATCGAGGTAATCAATATTAAGCTATTTCGTTCTTTTTTAAGTTGAGGCAGTTGTATTCAGTTGTCAGATCAGACTCTCGTTAAAAGATAAAATTCAATCTACGTGTATAATAATACAAATTCGCTGATTTCTATCACATTTGTTTGTTAGGTTTTCTACCATTAAATTTAACGTAACTTAAAGCTTGGAATAGTATAATGAAGTTATTTAAAACATATCATTGAGACGAGACGTAAGTCACATGACTCACAGAGGTTCTTGTATTATTTGCAAGTAACCATCAATACACCGATCAGAATATTAAATAAATAAAATAACTGAACAACGAATTTTAAAAAAAATGTCATTTAGTAGGCATCGGAAAACCAATTAAAGTGTCTACGAGCTTTGCGCTTCTTTTTCACGCCAATGGGTTTGATCACGTTTTCAGCAAAGTCCCAGCTAGTCCCAGGCTCCTGATGATGTACAGCTTCCCGTTTCCGAGTAGTACTGGCAAAAAGCTAAAGAAGGCAAATGATACGTTGTTTGGTTGATTGACTAAATGATTGAATGAATGAAACTTACAGTAGCTTATGAAGAACACTCTTACATGTCTTGACAATTCTTCTTAATTGTTCGATCAGACACACACAGAACACTTCTTTTTTCTTTGTCATTCATGCGAACAAGTGGATTTTCTATCAGTAAAGGAATTACTTGGAGTGTTACCTCGTCTCTTTGATCACGCGATATTGGTGAGGAAGTATTATCAGATTGCTTTGCTTTGTTCTCGCCAGGAACCTAGAAAATAAGTCAGAATGATATATATTTTTATACCGCTGTTTTACACATAATTACACGTGGCTTGAAGATATGAATTTTCTCGTGTTAAAAACAGTATTTTGCTCACTCGCTACGTTCGTTCGTAAAATACTGTTTTACGACTCGAGAATAAAATTCATATCTTCGCACAGCCGTGAAATAACCTCTATATATTGACTGGTGCGATAACTTACAAGTACCTGATAAGAAGGAAGAGAGGCAAAGTTTGGGGTGCTCAAAGTACGAGGCTCTTCCATGGAAATCTCCAGCATACTTGGACTGTTTTCGTCACGATCTTGTGGACTCTTCAGGGACTCTAATAAGTAACAAAAATTGTTATTATTACACATTTTGAGCACTTGGTTGAGAGCATACAGCTTATTTACACTAGCATCAAAGTATGACTTCCTCTGCAGGCGGTTAACGATTATTTTACAAAAACAAAATCAAAACCAGTAGCTTCCTGCAATAAACCAGCACATTTGCCTCGAAGCTTCGCTTCTCAGGCAGAGATTTGTTTAATTTCCGCGGGGTAACTATCAGTCGAGAATTCCTTATACATACAGAATGATAAATGATGTCAGAGGCTGCCTCCAGCAGTAACAAAATCTAACATCTGATACTGCGGGTCCGTAACAGGTAAAAGTTTTGGTACGAGGCAAGTGGCCCAGGCATCAGGCCGGCGCTTGTGTCCGGTTTCAGTAGCATGAAAATTGAACCAACTAGGAGTATTTCTACTACCATGGCATGGTTACCCCCAGCATTAAATTCACCGGTACCATTAATACACCCAGGTAGAGAGAGGCACTGTGAGAGCAAATTGTCTTGCCCAAGAACACGACACAGTGTCTTCAGCCAGGACTCGAACCCGGACCGCTCGATCTGGAGACGAGCGCATTAACCATGAGGCCACTGCGCCTCCATAACAGCTACGTCCGTTTAAATCTGAACACCAGGGACCATTCCTATTGCCTTACCTGTTGATCCGGATGTATCAAGAAAGAGAGGGTCTTGTTGGGTATACAGATCTTCAGACTTTATTGACTACAAAGGAAAATGATCTAATTATCTAACCGCTTTAATTTAGACCAAGGGCTGCTTGGAATTCACTTACTGCCGAGACACACTCATTAACTATTAGCTGAGAAGCGTTCTTTTAAAAATTTATAACCAATGGCTGAGATATGTTTGTAGCCCTTTCTTGTAGGCTTTAGGCCAAGGGTTTGTCTGGGACGCATGTATAACTAAGACACACCCATGATGTTGGCTATTAGCTGAGAAATGTTTTTTTAAATTTCTTACTAATAGCTAAGATGTCATTACTGATATAGTAATTTCCTGTCATATGTCACTCCTGAAGTTGTTAAATTGGGCCTAAATTTATGCTATACTTTACAAAAGTACAATCATTGCCGCACCGTTTGATGATAAAATATATATATAATGCCTCGGTGATCTGCTAACTACGTCATTCTTAATGCCAGAAGATAGACGACACAGAATTAACCGAACCGAGATTTATTATACGACTAAGATAGTGCAGAGAACTACTAACTAAGATCATACAATCAGATCGTTCCATTACCGGTCCAACATTCTCTAAGTATTGGACCGGGCATTGTCCTGAATGATCTCGCACAATCATTCTTGAAAATTTTCTTGTAGTTTATGGCTTACGTTTCTGAAAGAAACTGCTTTCAAATAAACTATTCCTTTTCTTTTCTTCCAAATCTCTTTCCTCTTTTTTGGTTTTAACAACAGACGTGAGTATACGCCTAATCGGCAGGCCCCCTATCATAATTGCGCGCTTGAAGTTTGCGATGTTTTTCCAGTCTGTAATCATGGCATTTTTTCTAAACATTTCAGTCGTGTAATAAACTTCTTCTCTACCAAGCTGATTCGGGACCGCACTAGGGAGAATATCGACTTTCGGTCACTTTTGTACGGACTTAGCTGCACTCGATCCGTACTGTCAAGACCTCTGGCCGATTTTCTCCTCAGTGCGAGCAACGCGGTTGTTTAATAAGATGCATTTATAATATGACTTGTATTTGTAATAAATATGACGCGCGCTCTGATTGGCTAATACTAGGGCACCGGTTATGCCCACGGGCCGATTATGAAGGGGCTGCAAAAACCCAAGCAAAAAGCCATATAATAAAATACTTATTAACCTCGAACGTTCAGTCTTTAAGGGAAAATCTCAAACAATCGCTAGGTCAATAAGGCAATGTCTCGGTTTGAGATTTTCCCGTAAAGACCTCACTTTCGGTTAATAATTAGCTCTTATTAACCGAGCAGGAGGTCTGTATGGGAGAATCTTGACCGAGGTCGTGAGTACAGAC